ATCACGTAGCTACACGCCTTTCATCCTAGGATGGGCCCAGAGGTTAGGTACGTTTTCAAAGACTTCAAAAGTGGAAATCAGACTGTCTGGCCCTCACTTTCTCTTTGGAATCATATCAGTGATGAGATTCAGAGTCACCTAACACTTTTGAACAGACCCCAGGCCTGTCTATGCTTCATCCCAGTGGTCTGTGGACAAGACCTAGAGCCTGGGAGTGAAGTCCTGGCAGGAAGGAGCCGGCTCCAGGGTGAGACGCCTCCCTCCACATCAGCACCCTCTGAGGCTGGAAGGAAGGAGCCTGGGACTCCGAAGTCCTAGCCAGGGGCCATAGTACAAGGCATGCAGATGTGGGTTCGCAGAGTAGCTGGTGTGAGTTGAGGGGTGCACATCCTCCCGCAGGCCTCCCCTCGGCTCTGCCTGCCATGCACGCCCTGCTAAGCCACAACGTCCTATCTTGCCTCAGATGCTTCTGCAGGGAGGAGCCCCTCTATGCTGGCCAACCCTGCTCGGGCTGCAGTGAGAACTAAAAGGGGTTGTGTTGTATGAGTATCATGTCCTCCATTCAAGGAGGGCCTGGCTGGACTGTGGTACAGACGGGCTGAGCAGCGGGTGCGGGGGAGCGGTGGAGAGGTGCAGGACTAGAGAAGGAAAAGCTGCCAGTCAGGGGCAAGGCACAGCTCAGCAATTTCTGTCACCCAAAAAAAAAACGATGCCTCGCAAGCACTTTTGTAATCCTGAGGGAGAAATGGAAGGCTTTCAGACCCAAGGGAGGACTCACAGCTGTCCTAAATCAAGTTGCTGGCTACACAGTGACATCGTGGGCACCTCCTAATTAAGCTCAAGACTGTGACACCTGTGCCACTGCACCTGGGAAAGCTAGGACAATGACGGGCTCCTCATCAAGTAGCAGCTCTCAAAATTAAAGGGAAACAGCACCCAGACTCACAGGCAGGCTGGAAAATACATCCCTGGAGTTTCATAGTTTTCTGGTTCTAAGGGTCCTCAGGGTGGGGATTTCTAAACTATGAGTCTGGGAATCAGAGGGTCATTAAAAACATCTGAACTCTGTAAATCAAGAGCTTAAAAAAATAATAATAAAGCAAACTTTGGCTGCCATCTTGTACTGCAAGCCATTTATACACATATAAATGTGACACCGAAAACTTACCTCCGTAGAGGGGCATTCTCTTCAATATCTTCCAGGGTCTCCAAGGATGATCTCTGAGAGATGAGGCGACGTCTGAAGAGAGAGGGGGAAAAAAAAACCTAGGAGTTAAAACTGCATTGTAAGATGGCATTTCTGTAAATCTAAGACAGTTCTAAGAAATAAAATCCATTAAAAATAAAAGATCGGACAAGAGCTGTCATTAAGAGGCTGCATGTTCCCAGTCTGCACCCTGAATGCCAAGCCCATCTCGCCTTGCTGAATTCTGAGCATTCTCCTGAGTTATAGGGCTGCTCTGCAGTAATTAGGGAAGGGACTGGTCCTTATTATGCTGTAATTTCCCCCAAAGACAAAAAACAAAACAAGAAGATGCCTCTTATGATACCTGAGTTGGGGACAGGGTGTAGTCCTTCTCAAGCTTAGATAATACTGTTAAGTATTTAAATATCAGTGGTCTGAACCAGGTTAACTGATAAATATTAAATTTTAAAACCATATTAAATAAAATCTCAATTAGGACACAATAAAATCATTAGGAGGCAATGAAAAAAAGTTATGGTCTCTGGATGGTTATTGCTGATTTCAAAAGCACTTAGAAACAAGGAAGGCATTCTTTTGGGAGAGCTTCTCAGAGACCAGTAAGAATACATACTGTGGCATGGTTAGGCAATACATTAACTCTTTCAGGCTGCTGAAGAATTGCAAATCACCTGCTAACACCTCCTCCATCTAGTGTCTTTTGCCAGACTGAAATAAGAATAGGTCCTAGCTAGCTGAGACTATCTGGTACAGGGGTCAAGGTGGGGTGGTAGTAACTTTCCAGGAAATTTGAACAAAGACCATCGTTTCATAGTAAATGATTTGCCTGGAGTGGGGAGGGTGGCGGGGGAGGGTAAACAGAAAAAATCTGATTAGATCTTTCTTTACCTTGAAAAAATGGGTCTAAAATTAGAAGGATTAGTCCATTTTGAAAAAAATGTAGAGTAAGAACATGCAATTATAACTATATTCTAATTTGTTCTAAAGAACAACAAAAAATGAAACAAATTTTTTCTTTCATGTATACTTTTTCTGACCACCCTGACACCTTTTGCTTCATGTTTTGATCATTTTTGCAAACTATTTGGGGGCTTCATCAATTTTCTGAGCCTTTCCTAATCTTTAATATTCAAATGCTTTCTAAAATATTCATCACACACCTTCCTTCTCCATCGGTGAACTGGTCTAATTCTTTCAGACCCTAAGTCGTCAAAGTGTGGGATCCAAGAGTTCCTAACACCACCTTCAGTGTCTTCATGACGTACTAGACCTTCTGCAAGATCTGTAGTTTAACTCCGCAATTAGCTTACATTGAATTCCCATTTCTATAATGTTGCCAGATTTCCAGCGGTCAGCCAGACTTGAGGCAATGGCTGTGGGGCGACACAGGTCTTACTTGCAAAGCTGCAAAGGGGCTTGAGGGGGCGGAGAACTGATTTTACAGGTAGCCAATTCATTAGAAAGCAGGACTTGCCTGTGTAGCTCTGTGACTCCGGTGACTTGGCTCACCTGGCTGACAGCAGCCTACAGCTGTGGCTTTGAAGCTTGCAGGCCACCAGCTGAGGTGCAGCCCCTCCAGGTCCTAGGCCTGGCTCATATGAAGTCCCAGCAGGAAGGGGTATATGCCCAGTTAGTCACACCCCTACCTGTCACAACTCTCAGGGGCAGGCATCCCCGTGCTCCTCAGCCAAAGGACAGGGCAGTCCTACAAAGGAGCGTGCACACCAGGTTAGACAGACTTGGATTTCAGTCCTGGGGTTTGGAAGCTTTGGGGCCTTAAAAAACTATTTAATCCTTGAGCCTCAGTTCCCTTATCTATGAAATGGGAACATGAGAATAACTAAGAAACAGAAATAAAGTCCTTGGCACAGGGTAGCTAATGACAGCTAGCAACTAGGTTTGTTTTTTTTTAAACAAATGTTCTCACTTTTTTTTTTTTTAAGATTTTTATTGGGGAGTTGGGGGGATGGGAACAGCACTGAGGAATTGGGGAAGGGGAACAGGCAAGTTGCTGTCGTTTTGTTCTTCAGTCTAGTTGTGGAGGACATTGCTTCACTGGCCCAAGTTGGCACCATCATTG